AAAACGCAAACCTCTTTGTATGGCACTGATTAAAAGATAAATTCTTACCAGTCGCAAAATCTTGTCCACGAAGTCTTGCATGCATAATCAGTTCTTGTTTTGCAAAAAGATGCTTTGCAAAATACGGATTTTTCTCGCTTAAAATGTCAGCTTGAGCGAAGAAAAATTGACTCACCTTCTTTGTAACGATTTTTCATGTTTCAGCCGACAAACGAATGGGTAAATAAAGTAAACTTGTCGAGTTTTGAACTCGAAAACTTTTTCAGATTCTTGCTTGCGTGATTAGCGTGTGAAAAGCCAAACAACTTGATGCCACAACCATTTTTACATACTCTCATGCAAACACTCCTCTCGGCCAATCAGAGCGCGCATACTATCTTAGTTATTTTATAATTTATTATCTAATATTTAGATTCTCATTCACATGCATGCAACTCTTAACCAATTTACCCCAGAAATTTTGCTGAAAATGCCAAAGCCAATATAGCAAACGTTTTGGGGAAAATTTCTTTCAGTTTGTATCATAAGCCTGGTTTGAGGGAAGTGCAGGTGCCAGTTCACTAGAATTTTAAGATCAACTTAAGATTTTTTTTGACATTTTTCTTTGACCTCATTAAAAAAAATCATGCTCATTTGGGTATTTTTCAAACTTGATCTCTTCCCCCTTTTCAAATTAGGGATGAAAGCTGTGTTAATATGTTTGATAAAGCTGATGCCTCAATAATAATGGTGCATGTACCGTGGAACCTCGATATAACTAAGTGCCAAGGGATTGGCAGAATTTTGTTCACTTAATAACCAGGTTTCCTTATATCAAGGTTCTTTTCTATATATTTCACTATTACTGGGGTAAAGAAAATTGTTTGTTTAATATACCGAGGACTTGGTTATTAATTTTAGAAGTTCATCATATTGAGGTTCAACTGCACAAGGAGCAGGTTTAGGATAATTCACATAGGCAGTTATGACAATTTTCAATGTTAAAAGGTCTGAATCAGGTTAAAAGCTAAAAAGGGCTAGGTGATCACATTGAGTCTGCTGATTTTTATCAACACAATCATTGAGTTATACCATGAGTTTCCTCCTGGTACAGTGCTAAGAGACGTTTAGATTCTAAGACGAGTACGACTACGAGTACGGGATTTTCTCAAAACTAAGTTGTGCCTGCACGTGAACCAGCGCCATTTTGGCAGGGAAATGTGGTAGCACTCTACTATGAGTTGTAACAAGAATGTCGAAGTAGCAGAAACAAGATCTCAAATGTTTAGAAGTTTTATCATTTTGCGATCAGGAGAGGGTATAACCTCCTTCACTAAAGGTAACAGTGCTAACTTTTCTAGTGAAAAATGGTAAAATGAAGCTTTCCCGGGAGTCTAAGTTTTGATAATACGCGAAAAAACTTGAAGTCAAATCTCCTACTCGTAGTCATTCTCGTCCTTGAATCTAAAGGTCTCTAGTACTGATCTGACAGGTACCTGTGATACATATTGTAATTGTGAGTACAGTTAACTCAGATTGAGTGGTTCCAGCAAAAAAAAGTACATTTGCCTGTCATAGTAGTCTGCTTCACAGCCATTTTTAGCGTCGTCATGCAATGGCTCCTCCCAACAAACACATTAAACCACAAACAAAAAGGGAAAGGAATGTGGTTTGATTCTCAGCAGCTGTTTGTTGGGAGGAGCGTTGGGTTATGACACTAAAAACGGCTGTGTAGCAGACTAGTCATAGGTATATGATGTACATTTAATTTTGTAAAATCCATTCTCAGGTTACCAGACAGGTGAGAATTCTCCTTTAATATATTGATTTTGTCATTTATTAGGACTTAATGGAAAAAAAAAAAGATAACTATTTTTCTGAACCACCCTGAGAACACACATTTTATGAACATCATACCTATGGCCCAGGGGCTCCATGGATTGTACATTGTATTAGAAGGGAGAAGAGAGAATGCCAATAATCATTGCTGATTTAAACCTTTAATCAAAGGGAATTTTCTGTTCAAGAGTAGTGGCCTGGTAGTAGGGGAGGAGGGCAGGGGGGGGGGGAGGGGTTGAATTCAAACCAATATACAGGTACCCTCCATGAGAATGGAATGAAATGTAATTCTGGGGCAATGGGAATAGGTTGTTGCTTTAATTTATGCATTGAGTAATAATTTCAGTGAAAAGTTCATGTTGGATTATTGAACTTATCATTTAGACACTGGTGACTTGTACTGATTTTATGTGACCCTGTACAACAATATATTGTAAATGTGTCTTTTCACTAATTTTGTTTTAATTATTTGTTTTACATTGGATTTGTTCTAAATTGTTACATATAATAATACTTTTCTCTCTCTCAATTTTTTGTCAGGTATGAATGGAAACCAGACATCAATGCTCCAAATTCCTGCAAAAAGGATGAATGAAAACTACGATCTGGCCTTATTTAAAGATGCTAATAAAATATTGACACTGCTCAAGAACAACAGCTTGATATATGTAAACACTGAAAGTAAAGAAGAAAAACAAAAGAACAAGAATCATTTTCAAATGCTGTTGTTAAATGCAAGCTATTTTGAGATAATAATTAAAGGTGGATCAGATTACATGTATATTCAAGGAAACTATGTAGTGCGGTTCTACATGGATGGAAAAACACCACCAGAGGATCCAGAGCCTCTGTCATTTAGCGTAGGTAAGTGACCTAAGGTAAATATAATTTTAATAAGAAACTGAGGTTTATAAGCTGCATAAAAAGACCAGTACCTATACATGCACTGAGGATTTTATACATACACTGTACAGTTATACAGTACATAATTTTTACATGTTCATATTTCACAATCACTAATATTTACCATTATTCATTTTCCCATGGGCACTGAATAAGAAGTAGAACATTTTTGTTATTTAATTTTTATATCAATTGCTTTCAGTGTATGTGTTAAATTAAATTCAGGCTAAAATTTGTTAACCTACAGTCTGATCAGACAAAAATAGTTGGGACACGTCCGCAGAATGCTGTTTTTTTTTTTTCCTTCTTGCTCATATCCTCTTCCTCCCAATGTTGGCAGTTAACTCACAAAATCTTGTGAACCAACATTGAGAGCTGGGCCAAAAGACTGTAAAGAGTTCCAAGAATTTTGACTGGCTTAACAGGTCCTAACACCTCTCTAGTTTATGTAATGGAATGGGGCAGTGTAAAATGCAGACTCCGGACTGCTTGGGGACTATTGTTTTTAGAGTTGGAAAACAATGGGACTATTATTGTCACATGCTCGATTATTTGCATGGTGAAAACAATAGTCCACAGTCTGCATTTTACACTGACAGATAATGGAAAATAAGAAAGAAAAGGAAAGGCATGTTTTAATTAGGTCTAATTGCCCGGTCTTCCTTTCAGGAAGAGACAGGTTATAAAATGGCCTTGGTTTTTCCTTCATCGTCAAATCGCCCTCTGCTCTTTAAAGGGCATTAAAAAAGGGAAATTCATTGGCAGTAGAGGCAAAATCCCCTTGACATGTGGTCGAGAACAAAAGGCAGCTTTTTTGTCAGTCGGTAGCGTTAACGTTGCGGTTTTTTTTGCCTCTATCAGAGATTGAATATTATTTTGGTCAGAATGTTTATCTCTAGAGGATAGATAGATAGAAGTAATGTAAATAATTAATAGGAAGTTTAAAATGCGGCGGCGATGAGAAAGTCAAATAAGCAATAGCTTGACAATGCAAAACAACAACTTTGCACGTGCATCATGCTTTTTTGTACATTTCTTTGCTGTCAACTGCACGACTACCCGGGAAAATGCCTAATTTCACGTTTTGTGTATCTGTAAACAAGCAATGACAAAAATCATCCTCATGAACTTGAATATGGTTAATAGAAATTCATCTCCAGAAGAGTTCGCTTGCACTTGACAAAGTAAGTGAGTTGCAATTGGAATATAATCACTGAAAAAAATTAATGTGAATTCACTTTTCCATACGACATTTTCGTGGCTTTCAGCCATCGTGGTATCTTTTAAAAACTCCCTAATATTTATGCAAGACTTGACCGATGCAAGAGTGAATACCTGTTGTAAGCTCAAGCTTGTATTTTGGGAAAAGCATCTTTAGTTTTCGGGCAGACAATAATATTTTGAAATCGGACGGGAATTTTATATCAAACTGATCATGAAAGACTCCTGACTGCATGCATTTCTTTGGTGCATGAGCCACTAGACATTAAGCCCTGATCGAGACAATAGCCGTCGTGTACGAACTTATGAAAAGAACTCAGGAGAAACTGTTCGCTGATTGGGCACAATAATACAAAGCATTTTTTGTGCCCCAAAAAGAGTTCAGAAATAGTTTGGTGAGAGTCAGTACCCAGGGGCTCTTTTGCCCGTACTTGCAAACTTTCGTCGCGCCTTTTCCGACCCGACTGACTGCCCCTGGGTCTCCGAGGATGGCTGATCTAGCTACTTTGAAGCATTATGCAGTCATGTTCAAGTACACCCCTGGGAACCTTCGAGTCTTTCCAGTCTGATCGTCGGTAGTATTTTCTTCCATTTATCACCAGTTCATCATCAAAGTTCATTTGGGCTGTAGTGCATTATTACATAGTGCACATTTTCCTTCGGCGTCCTATAATTTTATGAACTAAAAGAAGGCCAGGTTCACGCACCGTGCATCTTGTTGAAATGGTTATGTTGAGCATTGCTTTGGTACATGTACCTACAAGTAATTCAAACTTTGAGCATTGTGACATGGTTTTTGGCTTAATTAAGTCAAACTTAAGAATATCTTTTAATTGGAATAATTATAAAGTATGGTGACTTTACAATTTGAGTAGAACATTAATTTTTTCTGGCCTTATTTAAAGCACAGTAGTTTAATTCCATGTTGATATCATACGTTAGGTCAATCGATCTGTTTTCAACCTAAGACAATTCATTTCAACCTTGGTGAATTTGTTCCAGACCAGGTTAATTATAGATCTAAAGGTGTATTTGTTATCATCCTACATTAGGCCAATTTGTTGAAAATACTTGCAGGTGAATTTAATTAAGTTAATTATCATATTTTTCAAAATTTGTCATTTAGCAGTGAATAGCTGTAATCGTTAAAACTTTTCTACAAGCCATGAAAAATTTGAACACAGGCATGAGTACGTGTGTCAGATCGAAGTTTTTGACCTGCAGGCATGACAATCACACCTTATAAAGGCATGTCACTTGGAAGGTATAGTCTTGGGGAGTAATATATTACTGACTTCTTGCATGATTGTGTAAGACGACATTAGTCTTTCTACATGTATTTCGCTTGAAATCATTATTTTAATTGCTCATTCAAGCTGATGTCCTCCGCTTCTTGCACCTAACTTGAAGAGTCCCATCCAGCTTTGTGTTCCTTACACTCTGTTGCCAAACAGGCCTTAATTCTTTTCCTTTCTCACTTCCTCTCGAAGTTAATGGCACATTCGAGTGACTCTTCGAATTGGGAAGCCCTATTAGTAGTGGTAGTCACGTGCCCTTAGCTTGTCACGCTATCCATTGTTTACTTATAATTATGCCATGCTAGTTCACCTCAGTTCTTTTAATTTTTCAAATACTGCACTCCAAAAAAATATTTACTCAAACAGCTGCTTCTGTTTATGAAATCTAGAATTATTAACTCAATTTATGGTTGTAGAAAGTCGTTCACAAACCATGATCGACACTACCAACACACTGCGACTTCACTTCTTGTGACTGAAGTACAACTTAATTACCTCGTTATCTGTCAATGCCTTTTTTGCGATTAATTTGCATAATTTTACCTTTTCGCTCACCGCACATGGCTCTGAGGAAAGAAGCTGGACTGGAAGCTACCATTTTGACTGAGACTGCAGCTCAGTTGATTTTCAAATTCTTTTATCTCCTTAAGCCCTAGCTAATTCCTGAATAATTTTTTTAGGGCTAATAGTCGAAGGCAATAGAGAGTCGATCAACCTACAGTTACCTTAAGTTAAAAAATTTTAACCAAATTTAATTTTGACTTGTGACAATTTTTTGTGCACCTCACATTTGCTCATAAGACGACATATTTTAATATTTTTAGCAGCGACTCCATGTGACTGAAAGGAAATAAAGAGATTGTTATTACAGCACTGAGATTACATTAAATTAGATTAAGTTTTCTTGTACGAATGATATCATCAATTGGAAGCCAACCTAATTTAGTAAACAACATTACTGAATTATCCTGAAAATTAGCATCTAGTATCATTCTGGCACATGGTTTCTTTAATCATAACAATCTGTCCAACTGTTCCTTGGAACAGTTGCCCCATACCGTACAACAATGTTCAAGAATTGGTTTTATGAGGGAATTATACAATAATTTCCCAGAGTCCAAAGACTGCAAATTCCAAGTGAGATATTTGTCGATCCTAATTCTAAGGAGCTTTTCCCCTATTGCCTCCTCTAGCTTAACGTCATTCAAGAATATACTCTTGCATATCAAGGTTGTTGGCAATTCTTGTTTCTTCCACAGAGATTATAAATACCACTGAAGCAAATTCAACCCAAGGCGCAAATGAAGAGCATTCCTTATCCCTTCGTACGGGAGTGCCCTCTCCAAGCATACCCCTCACAACTAAAACAGGTATCTCAGTTTAGCATTATAATTTGAATTTCTTTTGTCATCTTTTTATTTCAATATTTTCCTCAGGGATATAAATACGTTGACAAAACAGCTGTTTCTTCATGTAACTACTAAATAATTAAAATTTATTAATTGTTATGCCCAAGCAGTGCCATTGGGTCGTCAGTAATGTTGTGAAAACTGTGATGTGCTACCCTCTCTAAATTAAATTAAGTCACTCTAAGTCTACAACTGCCACAACAAAGAATACAATGACACCAGTTTTAATACATGTACCCCACTTTGCCCTGCCCACTTCCCCACTGCACGCAGCAAAGTCCTAGCACTACACCCCTTACACATAATGATAAGCTGATCCATAATGTGTGTCATATTTCATTTTTGGAGTGACTACATATAGGTACATGCAAGCATCCCTTTCATACTCTTCACTGGTACTTTATTCCACAGAAATCAATACTACTGCAGAAGCAAATATCATTTCTACCCAAGGCATGAATGAAGAGCATCCCCAACACTTTCATACGGGATTGTCCTCTTCAAACACACCCCTCACACCTAAGACAGGTATCTCATGTAGTATTTGAATTTTTAGTCATCTTTCTAGTTCAACATTTTCCCCCAGGTATGTAAAATTAAGCACAGCATTTACAGCTGTTGATTAAGTCAATTTAAATTGCAGGGTTGCATGTAACTTTGTCATCGGCACCAATGGCGTTGTTGCTTATCTTTCAGGTCCACAGGCAAGAAAAACTGTACCTGTACCTTGGGAAATCTTTTTAGCGGTGGCTGTATACTCAATTGTATTGGTTGTAATTTGTTTATCAGTTGCCCTGATAAGAAGATTCCGAGTAAATATTTTCAGGATGCGTGCACCCATCGTTGATTGACCACCTAAGGGGCGAGTTGCATTAACAAATTGTAAACATTCTAATATCTAAGTCAGTATATTAGATATCAAATTCGTGACTTTCCTCTCTAGATGAGTTCATTCAATTTTTTAATGTTATGAACAGTTTCAATGTGTCATGTTATAAACAGTTTCAAATTGAAGCATTTTGGCTTTCCAATGAAATATCTATTTCCTTAAATTTTTATATGTACATACATGGGCAGTAAGTTGGAATTTGCTAATACTTGATGTGCAAATATTAACAGCATGCTCATGGAGTGCCTTCAAGCGTTAACATACACTTTTACTTCTTCGAAAGTCTAGACTTCCATTTTAAAAGCCCTTGTAGCCTGTTAATTTGACATGGTTCAAGTAACAGCTTTTATGAAAACAAAGGAACTAAACAATTAGTAAACGCTAACTGGGTGGGAGTATTTAAACAAGAGAAACTGCATGAAGCAAAAGAACAATGGATCTCGACCCCTGACGGCGTTTCACTGACCCACCCCCCCCAAAAAAAAAAAAAAAAAAGAAAGCGGAAACAAAAACAAAAAAAAAAACAAAACAAAAAGAAACAAAACAAAGCACGACCATGGAGCACCTGCTTACAAGAGGCAATTTTTTTGCATGCAACTTGTCTCGTAATTTTGCTACCTCTTGGGAAGTGTGGAGAAATCATTAAAAAAAAAAAAAAACAGGTTAACTTATTTAAACCAAAACGGAATGCAACCGATCCAATAATTTACTGAAATGCCGTTTGTTCAGAGTTATACCCAATTCTGGGACTTACTCGCAACCCACCGAATTCAATGACCTTAAGTACCTCGTAGGTGGTATAGGCATTTCCGTACGGTGTTAGTAGCTATGACATAACTTAAGGGTGGATTCATTTGCAACATACGCGTATAGCTGTCGCATTTGCACTTTGGGATTTCTTACTGCTTAATTTTGGGGCTCACGGATTTAACGTTAAATCCGAGAGCCCCAAAATTAAACAGTTCAAATTTGTTAGTGGAGGATTATAGTCATATTCTGCACGCATATTTTGTGGGTGTTTTTTGCTGTTCACCCTAATAGGAACGTGATTTTGTCCTAATCATTAGGTATAAAGTTAGTTCCTTAGCTCTATCTTGTTTTAGTAAAATCCAAGTGGTCTATTATCAATGCTGCGTTCTGATTGGTTGAGCTACTACTAGGCTATATGTTATAGTCCACTGGTAGCGAAAAGCGCGGGCTTTTTGGCGGCAAAAAAGGATTAAAATCTAGCTTTAACTAGCTAAAATTTTTTTTCCTGGATATTTTTGACCAATTCGTTGGATTTTACTAAAACGATTATTCCTCTTGCCCTCATGGCCTCTGAGTCAATAGCCCATTCGAGCTCATCCGGGCTCGAGGAATAGTTGTTAAATATTCCGTGATGAAGTCTGTGTGATCAGACGAAACCGGTCGGAGAAATAAATCAAGTAAACAAGATCCTCGCGTTGCTTTGTGCTGCTCACTAGTGTTCATTAAAAAAAAAATTTAAAGATTACAACATTTTTGAGCGCAGTTCCTTAAAAACTGCACGCATTCTTAAGTTATAAGTAATATAGTCTTGCAAAAATATTAAACTTTTCCGTACCCTTATTACAGCAATACCAAAGAGAATACAAGAGATCCAAAGAGAGGATAATCTTTAGATTATTTCTCTTAATTGAGTAATAGCAAAATAGTTGTAATGGTTACTGTATAATTTGAAGGGTTTAGAAACGAATTATGTGTACACGCTGTATGAGTGAGATACATATTTTAGTTATTAGATAATTTGTACCAGTCTCTGGTGTGTTGAATTTATTTTTGCGCTTCTTAGTGGACACGTGTCTGCCGCGGAGTTCATCAGATTCTAGTTCTAAAATAATGTGGTCTTAAAAAGTGTTGTTATAATCGGAGACTTAAAGAAACAAGTGCGAAAAACCACTCCATCTCGTAGACAGGGCAGAAATACTGCCACAAAAATTGTGTCTGAGTGATAGCCCCATGTTAGCAGCCACTGAAAAGGACGAAAAGAAGTGGCCCTGGCTTAAAGTCGTTTCGCGAAATACGATCAAAAAACCTAGCCGCACCAAGAAGACTACCAATTCGATAACGAGGTCACGTGATTATCCTCGAAAACGTCAAATCCTATGATAATTTCATCATAGAATGCGCCGTTCATCAGAGATTTTATGCAATTGGATTGTACTGGTGTGCTCAGTCTCCAGCCGTCAGGGTGTCTCGATCTGCCTGCGTTGCTTAGGAGTACCGCGGGTGCATCAAGACACCCAAGGTTACAAACACAACCTCGTTTCCAAGGCTTTTTCCCTCAGAAAATGGGAGGGTCGGGAAAGGCCCTGCCATCGGCTGGTCGATTCTTCTTTGCGATTGTCTTTTTCCCACCACCCTTCTCATTTTCTAAGGGACAAAACCCTGGAAACGAGATTGCTGGAAACTAACCCTACTGCAGTGAAACCTCTATTAAGCGGACACCTGTTTGTTAACGATTAACATTTTATCTTTATTATAGTACGTATTTTAAGGAAGTAATCCAGTACTTAACTATTGTCAATTCAGTCCAGTGTCCGCTTAATAGAGGTTTTTAACAAAAGAAATATGCCAAATACAATTGTGTCCGCGTCCGTTTAACAGAGGTGTCCGCTGAATACGGGTTCATTATAAAGTGAAATATAAGACGTTAATTTCGGGACCAGGCTTAGTGTCCGCTTCAGTAGAGGTTTCAGTGTATACCGGAATACAGGTCGGTCCGTTTGTAAATTGAATGCTTTACAATTAAAGGTTCAACGAATGAAACTCAGAGAGAAATGAATATTGTTAAATATACAATTGTATAATAAATTCAACTCAACTGGAATTTTTTCAGTTGAAATTCACGCTTTCAAAGTTATCAGGTTAGTAATTAAAATTACCACACACATGTGTTCTTATTATTTTGACGCATGAAATTAGGGAATAATTTCACTTGCGTTCTGTCCAACTTCTTAAAAATTATCATAATTTGGACAAAACGCAAGTGAAATTATTCCCCACTTTCAAGAGTATACCATTTGATTGACTTTTTATTATTTTTGACTTGGTTATCGTATCGAGAACTCCACGCACTGAAAAGTATAGGGCATACATTTTGGCTTAATTATAAGTTGTCAGTTTTCTGAATTTTTTGACAAAATACCTGTTATGCTCTTTGGTGTGTTACGGTTTCCGAAAGCGTCTTTTAATGCCATTTTAAAACTTCAACATCATCTTGGATCCTTCTTTCCACCCCCACCGTCTGAATATTTAACAACCTGGACAAATTAGAGTCCAACATTGTTAACTTCGTTGCACGTTGTTGTACCGGCGTTGTTATTGCTGTTTATGTTTTCGCTCACTTCTTTGGATTTAGCCAGTCCTTGTAAATATCAAATATTCAAGATTATTTTCAAAGCCATGGCCAATTTTAAAGTTAGTGCGCATGCGTTGAATTCTATCTTCAACATTTTAGAAAACGGCACACATTCCCTTCCTTCTTTTTCTCCCCAGAAAAGATCAGACAGGAGGTAGAAGAAATATTTTATTTGTTATTTTTAACACTTTTTGTTTCTTACATATCTTACAATAAGACTAGGCAGCAAAAATGATATTTTTCAAACGATCCAGCCTATTTTGAAAACATGAATCTAGTTTTAGATAAATATGTAAACATATTGTATTATTCAAATACATTATTTTATATCTCTTCTAGATAATTTAGGACATATTAATTCACTTGAGGCTTATAATTCTCTTTCATGCACAGGAACATCCTGTCGTGATCATCACCTTTCTTCCATTACGAGTAACCTCTGTAGACTTGGCAATGCAGAGTGGATAATCAGTTCTCGTAATGCTATCTAGGCAACCGAAACTTAAAGGCCGCTCCTTACATTGAAACTCTTTCAAATTATATGTTGGGCAATAAAGGATTCTTTCCACACATGGCAGAGTTGACGGAGAATTCGAAATCTCGTCTAATCGTGACGGGCACAGTTGCGCCAAGGTAGTGACCTGTCTCTTTTCTCGACTTGGCTTTGTCTCATTCAACGTTTGGCTTGGCTTTTGTTCTCCCTCCTTGAACCACTGCTCATTGCTATTTAGGACGTCCTGTGACTGGTAAGGCTTACTCAAGACTTCTGTTTGAAGTAGGCCAACAAAAACGACGAATAATAACTGTCATGATCAAAACAAAACGAACATGATGTGGGGTTAAATTAATTCTGAACAAGATAAAATCTTAATCGCCTTATACGCTTAAGTTTTAATTTCCTAATATCTGTACCTTGAGTTCTGTGACCACAGTAACATCAATTTAGCCGTTTGTTAAGAATTTGACGCCTTTCTGTTAGTATGGAAAATTTGTCTCTCTTTTAGCGTAGACGACATGTCCCTTTCAACTGAGTTGACAGGGGAACAAAAACACTCCAATGGCAAGACGTCTATTTCGTTGGTTTTGTGGAAGTAGTTTCAAGATTTTTCCTCTTTTTTAAAAAACAAATTTATGTCGTCTCATTGGGCCTATGAATTTTTCGTGTGAGGAGCTTGGACTGTTTTCATCTGTAACTGTTGTGGACATAGAGACATAGAGGCCCAGCCTTAAGAATTATGTTGTTTTTAACATTTTTTCTCTACTTTTAAAGGTAAAAGAGTCCTTTTACAAAACTATCTTGTTTGATCGTTGTTTTTTACCTTTTTTTGCATAATGAGCTTCATCTCCCTTTCTTTATATATCTTTAGTTAGTGGCACGTCCTTTTTCTCTCTTTGGCTTTCGTGTATTAGTAAGTCCGTCGTAGCCAAATCAGTGATACTACACAAGAACATGTCGGTCTTTTATAGTGCACAAGTATACTGCTTTTCAGTAGTCTATATTTAAGAGTACAGCAGAACTTTATTTTAGATTCCTACCAGAGAAAGAGAAGTCTCAGTGTGGGGAAACACAAACTATTTCC